TATCACAGTCACAGTTCCAACTGTGGACTGCATCTGCATGTAAGATTTAGGACCTTGTCAATGAGCTTTGTCCATGTTAAGGTTATAATTATAACGATTGGCAGGGTGTTCATTTAAGAAATACAATCTCGGGCCGGGAGCGGTGGCTCATGCCTGTAATCCCAGCACTTTGGGAGGCCAAGGTAGGCGGATCACCTGAGGTCAGGAGTTTGAGACCGGCCTGATCAACACGGTGAAACCCTGTCTGTACTAAAAATACAAAAAATTTGCTGGGCATGGTGGCTGGTGCTTATAATCCCAGTTACTTGAGAGGCTGAGGCAGGAGAATCGCTTGAACCCGGGAGGGAGAGGCAGTAAGCCAAAATTGTACCACTGTACCCCATCCTGGGCAATAAGAGCAAAACTCTGTCTCAAAAAGAAAGAAAGAAAGAAATACAATCTCAACCAGGTGTAGTGGCTCATGCCTGTAATCCTAACATTTTGGAAGGTCAAGGCAGGTAGATCACCTGAGGCCAAGAGTTTGAGACCAGCCTGACCAACATGATGAAACTCTATCTCTAATAAAAATACAAAAATTAGCTGGGCATGGTGATACACGCCTGTAATCCCAGCTACTCGGGAGGCTGAGGAAGGAGAATCACTTGAACCCAGGAGGTGGAGGTGCAAGTTCATCTCACTTGCAATGAACTGAGATCGCACCACTGCACTCCAGCCTGTGCTGGAGGGGAGGGAAACTTAGTCTCAAAAAACAAACCAAAAAACCCACAATCTCATCTGTGTTTTTGGCTTGTGATAATACTCTCTGTGCCACCTGAGAGCTTTTTACAACATTTGAGAGAGTGGTAATTCTCTATGACCTTTGCAAAAAAAGAAAACTCAGAATCATGTTTGTTTTCCCAAGCCTAGCTAGGCAATGTGTATCTATCTCTTTTACTGCCTGGTTCAAGGTATGAGAATCATCATAGTGATTGAAGCTGGGGCAAAACATATGTTACAACTACACCTATGGGTAGGGAGTGAGCAGGAGAGTCACATCACCTGGGGCTGGTCCAGAGATATGTCACAATCTTTTTTGAGGGCAAGGACCAGGCAGGAGAGTCACATCACCTAGATGCTTGGCCAGAGATGCTTTAAAATCTCTCCCTATAAGATGGGCACAGGCAGCAAGTTACATCACCTGGGTGCTGGGCCCAACGATATGTTACAATGCTCTCTGTGAGCAATACCCGGAGAGGTGAGACACATTATCTGGTTGCTGATCCCAGTGCTGTGTTATAATCTTTTTTTGGGACATGGTGCATATAGATGAGGAAAGTCACATCTTATAATTGATAGATGTCTAAATATGTCACAAGGTTCCCTGTGGGCAGGGCCCAGGCAGGAGCCTCCCATCCCCAAATGTCAGACCCAGTGATATGTAACAATATCCAGGCCGGGTGCGGTGGCTCATGCCTGTAATCCCAGCACTTTGGGAGGCCGAGGCGGGTGGATCATGAGGTCAAGAGATAGAGACCATCCTGGTCAACATGGTGAAACCCCATCTCTACGAAAAATACAAAAAATTAGCAGGGCATGGTGGCACGTGCCTGTAATCCCAGCTACTCAGGAGGCTGAGGCAGAGAATTGCCTGAACCCAGGAGGCGAAGGTTGCGGTGAGCCGAGATCGCGCCACTGTACTCCAGCCTGGGTAACAAGAGTGAAACTCTGTCTCAAAAAACAAAAACAAACAAAAAAAAAAACCAATATCCAAAATATGCAGTGTCCAGGCGAAAGAAGAGAATTACATCATCTAGGTGCCGGGTCTAGTGATACATCACAATCCTCCTTAGGCAGGGCGCAGGCTGAAAAAAATTCACATCACCTAGGTGATGAATTAATAAAATATGTCATAACACCCTCGTGGCCAGGGCTTATGTCAGAGACTCCCATCACCTTGGTGACAGATCCAGCTATATGTCACAATAAAAGATGTATGCAAGGCCCAGACAAGACAAGACAAGAATTCCATTGTGTAGGGGCTGGGCCTAGTCATACATCTCAATCTTTTTTTTTGGTCAGTGTCCAAGCAGTAGAGAAGATGTCATATCAACCAAATGCTGCATCCAGCAACATCCAGTCACAATACCCTCTGAGAGGAGAGTCCAGGCAGAAAAGTCATCACCTAGGTGAAAGGCCCAGAGAGATTTCCTAGTGCTACCTGTTGCAGGGCTCAGGAAGAAGACAAGAGTCAGATAATGCAGGAGCTGATGGCACAATCACTACAGTGGGCAGGGCCTAGGCCTGAGAGGAGAGTCACATCACATAGGTGCTGGGCCAAAAGACATCTCACATTTCCTACTGTGGACAGGTTCAGAAAAAAAGAGGAGAGATTTATTATTTAGGTGATTGGCCGAGAGATATGTCACAGTGACTACTGGGACAGGAACCAAGCATAAGAATCACATCACTGGCCAGGCACGGTGGCTCACGCCTGTAATCCCAGCACTTTGGGAGGCTGAGGCGGGTGGATCATGAGGTCAAGAGAGCGAGACCATCCTGGTCAACAAGGTGAAATCCCGTCTCTACTAATACAAAAATTAGCTGGGCATGGTGGCGCGTGCCTGTAGTCCCTGCTACTCGGGAGGCTGAGGCAGGAGAATTGCTTGAACCCAGGAGGCGGAGGTTGCGGTGAGCCGAGATCGCGCCATTGCATTCCAGCCTAGATAACAAGAGCGAAACTCCATCTCAAAAAAAACAAATCACATCACCTGTGTGCTGGGCCAAGCAATAAGTCACTCTTCTTAGTGTTAGCACGACCCAGGCCCAAAGATATATTACAATCTGACCTATGGACAAAGCCCAGATAAAAAAGTAGAGTCACATAAAATAGCTGATGAGCTCAAATATATATCAAAATATTTTCTCTAAGCATAGTCCAGGCAGGAAACTGACATCACTTGGATGTAAAACCCACCAGTATGTCACAATGTCTTATTTGAGCAGGGCCAAGAAAAAAATGAGTAGTATCACTTTGGTGCTGGATTCAGCAATATTTCACAATCTTCCCTGCAGGAAAAACTAAGAAAACAAAGAAAATTAGGGCCAGGCACAGTGGCTCACACGTGTAATCCCAGCACTTTGGGAGGCCCAGGCAAGCAGATCACCTGAGGTCAGGAGTTCAAGACCAGTCTAACCAACATGGAGAAACCCTATTCTCTACTAAAAATACAAAATTAGCTGGGCGTGGTGGTGCCTACCTATAACCCCAGCTACTAGGGAGGCTGAGGCAGGAGAATCGCTTAAACCCAGGAGGTGGAGGTTGTCTGTGTTGAGCTGAGATCACGTCACTGCACTCCAGTCTTGGCAACATGAGCGAAACTCCGTCTCAAAAAAAAAAAAAAAATATATATATATATATATATATATAAAATCAGCTATGTGCTGCAAAATGTCACAAAACTTCCTGAGAGCAGAGACCAGTAAGACAGAAAGTCAAATCACCTGTGTGACTGCAGACATTTCAAAATGTCACCCATAAGCAGGGTCCAGGCATAAAAGTTGTATCACCCGGCTATTGGACCCAGCAATATGTCACAAGGGCCCAAGTGGGCATATCACAGGCAGAAGAGTCAGATAACATCAGTGCAGGACCCAGCAATATGTCACAATGTCTGCTGCAGGCAAAACCTAAAACCAGGGAAGAAGCCCATCAGCTAGGTGCTGGGTGTAGCAATATGCTACAATGTTCCAGGAAGCAGGGACCATGCGGAAGAAGACAGTCACACCACCCGGATGCTGGGCCCAGCAACATGTCAATCACCATTCCAGTAATAAAGACCCAGGCAGAAACATACATCATTTGGTTGCTGGTCACAGCAATATGCCTCAATTTTCCCCGTAGGCAGGGTGCAGGCAGAAGAAGAGTTACATCTCCTAGGTGAGGAAGGCAGAGACATGTCACAATGCTCCCTGTAGGAAGGACCCAGGTAGGAGACTCCCATCCTTTAGGTATTGAGCCAAGCAATATGTCACAATACACAAATATGTAGGGCCTAAGAAAAGAGAGTCACATCACCTTGATGCTAGGTCTCTGTGAGCACAGACCAGGCAGAAGAAAGTAACATCACTGGCTGGGCACAGTGGGTCACACCTGTAATCCCAGCATTTTGGGAGGCCAAGGCTGGTGGATCCCTTGAGGTCAGGAGTTCGAGACCAGCATGGTCAACAGGGTGAAACCCCATCTCTATTAAAAATACAAAAATTAGCCGAGCGTGGTAGCACATGCCTGTAGTCCCAGCTACTCAGGAGGCTGAGGCGAGAATCAGTTGAAACTGGGAGACAGAGGTTGCAACGAGCCAAGATCATACCATTGCACTCCAGCCTGGGTAACAGAGCAAGACTCCATCTCAACAACAACGACAACAAGTAACATCACCATGGTGATGGGCATCATTGAGTTATATGACAAAGAAAGCTTCATGCAGGCAAGGTCCAGAAAGAAAGTGTTACATACCCTGGGGGCTGGACCCAGCAATATGTAACTTTTTTTTTTGAGACAAGAGTCTCATTCTGTCACCCAGGCTGGAGTGCAGTGGCGAATCTCAGCACACTGCAACCTCCATGTCCTGGGTTCAAGCAATTCTCCTATCTCAGCCTCCTGAGTCACTGGAACTACAGGCGCTCTGTAGTTCCCACTCCCAGATAATTTTTGTATTGTTAGTAGAGATGGGTTTTTACCATATTGATCAGGCTGGTCTTGAACTCCTGACCTAAGGTGGTACACCTGCTTCAGCCTCCCAAAAGTGGTGGCATTATATGCATGAGCCATTGTCCCCGGTCTTATATGTAACCATTTCTAATGCAACGTATTGTGCCACAATACGGCACAACACGTAGGGTACAAGTGGGAGAGTCATATAACATGGGTGCAGAATCTGGTAATATTTTATAATACTCAAAATTTGTGGGGTCCCATAAAAAGAGGACTGGGTGCTGGGACCAGTGATATACTATAATCTTACCTTTGGGATGGGACCAGGCAGGAAACTGAAATCACTCAGGTGCTGGACAAAGGAGTATGTCACAATCACAACGGCAGGAAGGTCCAGTGATGAAGTAACAATCCCACAGAGGTTCCCATTCTAGGTATGAGAGTCACCATATTCTTTATGTTGGGTCTAAGTACACTACTGACAATCTCACCAATGAACTGAACCTGTGCATGAGATCCTCCATCCCTCTTGTGAACTGTGTTCGCTCTGCCCTCAACTCGGGTAGGAGAGTCAACATGTCCTCAGGAGGACATGAAGGCAGAATTTTCATTGATTCAGACAGAAAAATTCTCACCTGCCTATGAACTAGATTTAGAAATGAGTCATTATTCAAACTTGCCAAATGTTCACATATGACACCCACAATTTCAACTGTGGACTGTGTCTGTACATGAGATTCAGGACCTTACCAGTGGGCTCCATCACTATGTGAGGGTGACAATTCTAAGGTTAGTAGGTGAGCAAAGAAAAGAAACACAATCTCACCTGTGTGCTGAACCCTATAATGACACTCTCTGTACCACAAGAGATTTATATAGTATTCAAAAAAGTGGTAATTCTTGACTGGGCATGGTGGCTCATACCTGTAATCCCAGCACTTTGAGAGGCCGAGGTGGGTGGATCACTTGAAGTCAGCAGTTCAAGACCAGCCTGGTCAACATGGCGAAATCCTATCTCTACTAAAAATATAAAAATTCCCGGATGTAGTGGCATGCATATGTGATCCCAGGTATTTGGGAGGCAGAAGCAGGAGAATCACTTGAACCCAGGAGGAGGAGGCTGCAGTGAGCCAAGATCATGCCACTGCACTCCAGCCTGGGTGACAACGTGAGACTCCGTCTTCAAAAAAAAAAAGGCCAGGTGTGATGGTTCACACCTGTAATCCCAGCACTTTGGAAGGCCGAGGCGGGTGGATCACGAGGTTAGGAGTTTGAGACCAGCCTGACCAACACGGTGAAACCCCGAATCTACTAAAATACCAAAAATAAAAAATAAAAAATTAGCAGGACATGGCGGCATGCGCCTATAGTCCCAACTACTCGGGAGGCTGAGGCAGGAGAATTGCTTGAACCCGGGAGGCAGAGGTTGCACAGATCCGAGATCGCGCCACTACACTCCAGCCTGGGCTACAGAGCCACATTCCTTCTCAAAAAAACAAACAAAAAAAATTAACAACATAAACTGAAGACCCCAGGACCGCAGCCCGTACCGCGTACACACCGAGTCAGGATTCACCCCGCTGACTCGCCTCTGAACAATCTGGGCAATACTCGGGGATGCGGGTGCAGAGCTGCCCAGGGAACTCCAGACAGGGCGCCACGCAGGGAAGTGGGGCAGAGGGGTGGAACGCAGGGGTCTCAGCCGAGGGCCCAGCCGCCATCTTGCGGACAGGGAGGCCTGGGGCGGAGCCGCGCTAGCGGGAACTCAGGTTGGTGACCCAGGAGCGGACGGTGGGGAGACCGGTTCCGCCTGTTTCACAGCTCGCTCCCCGCTTTCGGGAGGCCCAAGCTCGCCTACTCACCATTTCCCAGCTTCCAGAATGTCCTGGCATCTTAGCTTTGCGTCTCCCAGGACCTGCAGATCACAGGGCAACGGAAGCTGTGACAAAGTCAAGGGGCGGGGAAGGGGATACCGACAAGGAAGAGCGGAACAGCAGAGACGGATCCCAACTTCTGGCGGGTGCGGGAGACAAAGGCCCCGCCACACGCTGGAAGCCACGCCCTCCTCTCCGACGGCGCTTCTGATTGAACGGTTCCCACGCCAGCGCCACTGATTGGATAAAGCCCCAGGACCACCTCACACCCTTACCCTCCCCAGCATTAGTGCATTTTTTGGACGAGGAAACAGGCTCAAGTAGGCGGGATCACAAGCCTGAATTACACAGCTAATTAACGAGTGAACTGAGGCTTGAAATACACTTGCTCTTTCCCTTACCTGGGTCTGCTTGTATAATGCATTTTAGTAGTTACCTAAGGGTAAGAAACCGAACATTTGGACACATGAATTATGTTGCCCAAATTTGCTCATCTTAGAAAAGCTTCTAAACCGATCTTTGTGAAGTGTCTATTCTCAGGGTAATTTTGCCCTGACTGTGCTGCATCTCAGCCTGACCTCTCTTTTTTAAAATTACTGGATTGGGCCAGACGCGGTGGCTCACGCCTGTAATCCCAGCACTTTGGGAGGCTGAGGTGGGTGACCTGAGGTCAGGAGTTCGAGGCCTGCCTGACCAATATGATGAAACCCCTGTTTCTACAAAAACTACAAAAAAAAAAAAAAAAAAAATAGCGGGGCATGGCGGCATGCGCCTGTAATCCCAGCTACTCCAAAGGCTGAGACAGGAAAATCACTTGAACCCCGGAGGCCGAGGTTGCAGTGAGCTGAGATTGCACCATTGCACTCGAGCCTGGGCAACAAGAGCAAAACGCCATCTAAAAAAATAAATAAAATAAAACAAAGTTGCTGAATTGGCTGGGTACAGTGGCTTGCCTCTGTAATCCCAGCACTTTGGGAAGCAGAGGCCAGTGGATCAAAAGGTTGGGAGTTCGAGACCAACCTGACCAATATGGTGAAACCCCATCTCTAATAAAAATACAAAAAACTTAGCCAGGTATGGTGGCACACACATGTAATCCCAGCTACTCCAGAGGCTGAGACAAGAAAATTGCTTGAACTCAGGGGGCGGAGGTTGCAGTGAGCTGAGATCACGCCACTGGACTCCACCATGGGCCAGAGCAAGACTCTGTCTCAAAAATAATAATAATAAAGTAAATAAATAAAATTACTGCATTACTCTCATTAAAGGGGTTATTTCAGCCGGGCGCGGTGGCTCACGCCTGTAATCCAGCACTTTGGGAGGCCGAGGCGGGTGGATCACGAGGTCAAGAGATCGAGACCATCCTGGTCAACGAGTGAAACCCCGTCTCTACTAAAAATACAAAAAAAAAAAAAAAAAAATTAGCCAGGCATGGTGGTGCGCACATGTAGTCCCAGCTACTCGGGAGGCTGAAGCAGGAGAATTGCTCGAACCCAGGAGGCGGACGTTGCGGTGAGCCGAGATCGTGCCATTGCACTCCAGTCTGGGTAACAACAGTGAAATCTCCGTCTCGAAGAAAAAAAAAATAAATGAAGGGGTTATTTCACTTTCTATTTGAAAATGGCCAATTGTCCTCTATAGGTGTCCTAATCTGATTTGCTAGTTTAGACCCTGGAGGTAGGTATGAGAAAATACTTGAGAGGGCCAGGCACAGTGGCTCTTGCCTGTAATCTGCCACTTTGGGAGGTGGAGGCAGGCAGATCACCTTAGGTCAGGAGTTTGAGACCAGCCTGGTCAACATGGTGAAGCCCTGCCTGTACTAAAAATACAAAAATTAGCTGGGCATGGTGACATGTACCTGTAATTTCAGCTACTCGAGAGTCTGAGGCAGGGGAATCGGTTGAACCTGGGAGGCAGAGATAGCTGTGAGCAGAGATTGTGCCATTGCACTCCAGCCTGAGTGACAGAGGAAAACTCCATCTCAAAAAAAAAAAAAAAAAAAAAAAGAAAGAAAAAGAAAATACTTGAGCTACATCAGAACACCCTCAACTGGAGGATATATAGGAATTCCTTCATAATATCTAGCAGTTTTCTTTTTTCTTTCTTTCGACTTCCCTACTATTGAATTTTTTTTCTCTTTTGTTCTTTTAACAGTTTTCTCATTATCCATGACATTTAACAGTGACAGCTTGGAGGGCAGAGAGGGGAAACACATGACACAAAATTAGAAGTTCAATTTTGTTATAAGTTTATTTTGTTTCGTTTTTGTACACAAGGTCTCACTTTGGCCCCCAGGCTGGAGAACAGTGGCACAATCATAGATCATATTTTGGTTGTAACAGTTTTTTATAAAATATTTGTTTCTGGGTGTGGTGTCACACCTGTACTCCAAACACTTTCTGAGGCCATGGTAGAATGATCACTTAAGTCCAGGAGTTCAAGATCAGTCTGGGAAACAAAGTGAGACTCAGCCTCTACAAAACATTATAAAAATTAGCTGGACGTGGTGTTGCATGCCTGTAGTCCCAGTTATTCAAGAGATGGAGGTGAAAGAATCACTTGAGTCTAAGCAGTTGAGGCTGCAGTGATCCATGATTTAGCCACTGCACACCAGCCTGGGTGACAGAGAAACCTGTATACGTGTGTATATACACACGCACATGCACACGCACATATACACATATATAATAAAAATAATATGTATGTTAAAAAATTCAAGCACGGAAGAAAAGTGAAAGACAAAGGTATGGGATGTGCAGAAAGGTGAGTGTGGTTCCTCCAGCTCAGTGAGACTTGGTTTTCTGTCTTTATTTATTTATTTGAGAAGGAGCTTCACTCTTGTTGCCCAGGCTGGAGTGCAATGGCACAATCTCAGCTCACCACAACTTCCATCTCCCGGGTTCAAGTGATTCTCTTGCCTCAGCATCCCAGTAGCTGGGAATACAGACATGCACCACCACGCCGGGCTAATTTTGTATTTTTAGTAGAGATGGAGTTTCTCCATCTTAGTCGGGCTGGTCTTGAACTCTCAACCTTAGGTGGTCCACCTGCCTCGGCCTCCCAAAGTGCTGGGAATACAGGCATGAGCCACCGCGACCATCTTGAAGAACTGTACATCCACATTGAAATCACAACCAAGCACATGCCAATTCTCACATGAAACCTTTTCAGATACCACTATCTACCCTTAAAAAAAATTGAAATGTTTCACCTAGGAAAAGAAGAAAAGCATTTTACATCTAAAGCTTTTGTTCTTTTTTAAAAGAACAGCTCCTGTCCTTTGAGTTATCCAATGATGTCTGAAATTGCTAATACACTTAAGTACAAATGGGCCTCTCAGGTGACCAAGAGGCACAGAGATAACTAAATGTAATCCATTATCAGTTTTACATGATGCTCCCGTCTCAAAAAGTGGTGTTAACCGTGTGAACCATATTCACTGGACAAGGTCAGAGAAAAGCATGTTTAGGACAATACAACCATGAGGCTACAAATCAAATTGGGGGCAGAAAGCAGGCAGGAGACTTCCATGGCCGATACACTGGTGGTTATCCTTAGGTGTCACTTAAAATTTCCAGGTCATCCCAGCACTTTGGGAGGCGGAGGCGGGTGGATCACGAGGTCAAGAGATCGAGATCATCTTGGTCAACATGGTGAAACTCGTCTCTACTAAAAAAAATACAAAAAATTAGCTGGGCATGGTGGTGCGCGCCTGTAATCCCAGGTACTCAGGAGGCTGAGGCAGGAGAATTGCCTGAACTCAGGAGGCGGAGGTTGCAGTGAGCCGAGATCGGGCCATTGCAGTTCAGCCTGGGTAATAAGAGCGAAACTCCGTCTCAAACAAACAAACAAACTTCCAGGTCAGGCCGGGCGCAGTGGTTCACGCCTATAATCCCAGCACATTGGGAGGCTGAGGCTGGTGGATCACGAGGTCAAGAGATCGAGACCATCCTGGTCAACAAGGTGAAACCCCGTCTCTACTAAAAATACAAAAATTAGCTGGGCATGGTGGTGCGCGCCTGTAGTACCAGCTACTCAGGAAGCTGAGGAAGGAGAATTGCTTGAACCCAGGAGGCGGAGGTTGCGGTGAGCCGAGATCGTGCCATTGCACTCCAGCCTGGGTCACAACAGCGAAACTCCATCTCAAAACAAAACAGCAACAACAAAAAACTTCCAGGTCAGCCGGGCGCAGTGGCTCACGCCTGTAATCCCAGCACTTTGGAAGGCTGAGGCGGGTGGATTGTCTGAGCTCGGAAGTTCACGACCAGCCAGGGCAACACGGTGAAAACCCATCTCTACTAAAATATAAAAAATTAGCCGGGCGTGGTGGCGTGAGCCTGTAGTCCCAGCTACTCGGGAGGCTGAGGCAGGAGAACTGCAAAAAGGCGGAGGTTGCAATGAGCCGAGATCATGCCACTGCACTCTAGCCTGGGTGATAGACTGAGACTCCATCTCAGAAAAAAAAAAAAAAAAAAAAACTTCCATGTCAAGGACATCTTTTATTCCAGTTGATTCAGTGAAATTAACACACTTTAAGATTGTAATTTTGGGTTTTCTTTTCAGAATTTCTGAAACATAAAGGACTCGCCAAATGCCCCAAAAGGCATTTCCATCTGGAGTGCAGTGAGTAGGAAAGGAAGTAAAAGCCTGTAGTGACAGCTTTTGCTAAGCCTGAGGGCAGGCAGGCCAGGCCTGGGCACATGGATTTATCCGGGACCACCACTGCTGACTCCTTCCCCTTCACCTGGAGCTACAACCAGGCCAGGCCAATAAGGATTAATAAAATCACTGCAGCTCTTATCCTGCCACAAAACTAATGTGTACCCCAATCCCTAGCCTTACACATATCTCTGACTTCCCATCCCAGAAGACAGAATGCCCTTCTTTTTGACCTAAAGCCTCAATTTGATTTTTTAAATTTTTTCCCCCCAAGATGGAGTTTCACTCTTGTTGCTCAGCCTGGAGTGCAATAGCGCGATCTCAGCTCACTGCAACCTCTGCCTCCTGAGTTCATGTGACTCTCCTGCCTCAGTCTCTTCAGTCTAATTTTTGCATTTTTAGCAGAGATGGAGTTTCATCATGTCGGTTAGGCTGCTCTCAAACTTCTGACCCCAGGTGATCCACCAACCCTGGCCTCCCAAAGTGCTGGGATTATAGGCGTGAGCCTCCGCAACCGGCCTAT